AGACAGTGGGATATTGAAGTTCCCTAATATTAATGAGTTGGGGTTAATCTGGATCTTAGAGTCCCGTAGTATTGTTTTTATGAAGTTGGGTGCACCAGAGTTTGGTGACTATATGTTCATGATTGTAATGTCTTCTTGATTCATTGTTTCTTTGATCAAAATGAAGTGGTCCTCTTTGTCTCATCTGATTAGTTTTAAGTCTATTTTGTCAGATATTAGAATTGCTTTGCCTGCTTTTTTCTTGGTATATTTTTTTCTGTCCTTTCACTTTGAGATAGTGTCTGTCCTTGAAAGTGAGATGCATTTCTTGTGGACAAGAAAAAGATGGGTTTTGTTTCTTAATCCATTCACAAAGTCTGTATCTTTTGACTGGGGAGTTCAGTCCATTAATATTTAAAGTTATTAATGAAAGATGAGTATTGAATCCTGTTATTTTTATTTCTGTTTACATTCTTTATATAGCTGTACTTTTCCACAGTTGTACCTTCATTGGATTTCTTTCCACAATACCTTGGGTATAGTCATTACTTTCTTCAGTTCTTTGTATTGCTTCCAGGACTCTCTGAAGGCCTGGTTTTGTGGACATGAATTCCTTCAGCTTATTTATGTCATGGAAGATTTTTCTTTCTCCTTTGACTCTAATAGGCATTTTGGCTGGGTGTAGTAATCTGGTTTGGCATCTGTGGTCATTTAAAACTGGGAATACTTTGGACCAGGCTCTTCTGGTTTCATAGTTTGCACTGAAAAGTCAGCTGTAATCCTAATGGAGTTTCCTTTATATGTGACTTGCTGTTTCTCTTTTGCAGCTTTCAAAATTGTCTCTTTGTTTTGTACATGTAGTATTTTTATTATGATGTGCCGTGGAGAGTTTCTTTTCTGGTCCTTTCTGTTTGGTGTTCTAAATGCTTCTTGTATTTGTATGGGCATGTCTTTCTTTAATTTTGGGAAATTTTCTTCCACAATTCTATTCAAGATCTGGTCCATGCCATTATCTTGGGATTCTTCTCCTTCCTGTATGCCTATGATTCATAAGGTCTTTTTATGGTGTTACACAATTCCTGCATATTCCATTCTTGTGATTTCTTAGAGTTTTCATAATCTTTACTTGAGTGGTCTAGTTCGTCCACTTTATCTTCCAGTCTTGATACTCTGTTTTCCATTTCATTCATCCTATTGGTGAGGCTTTCTCCTGTCATTTCTAATTGGCTTACTGCATTCATCCTGTTGTTGAGGCTTTCTCCTGTCGTTTCTAATTGGCTTACTGAGTGTTTCGCTTCCTTCTTCATTTCAGCCTGAGTATTCATCAATATTTCTAGCTCTTTTCTTAATTCATTCAGAAGTTTATCCCTATCTTCCTTCAGTTCTTTGATTTCTTTGTGTGTTCTTTACATTCACTGAATTGTTTTTATCATATTTATAATTGTTATTTTTGAATTCCATGTCCTGCATTATCTCTAGGGGGTTCTCATTGTACTCCTCTAGAGGACTATTGGTATTTGGTGTGGATACCTTAATTTGGTTTTTCATGTAATTTTTTCTCTGTGATTTTGACATGTGAATTTCTTTTGTAGTTTCTGATTTTGTGTGAGACTCAGGCCTTCAAGTTTAGGTCTGCTTCTTTTTGTCAACTTTATGTGTCTTTGTGGTTTACTCTTTGGGCATGAAAGGCTGGTTTGTCTAAGCTTCCGGTTCTCTCTTTTGATTTTATATTTGAGTGGCCGGGTTGCTTTTGTCTTCAGGAGTTCCCACAGAGGCCCAATTCAGATGAGGGTCAGATGTTTTCAGGCTTTCTCCTAAGGTCTGAATCCTTCCAGGAATGATTTTGGCCTTAGGAATTTGGGGGATGGACTGGCCTAGGCCACTTTCCTGGGAGCCTGGCCCAGGAGAGATGCTGGTCTAGGGGAGCTGGTGGCCTTGCCACCCAGAGATGCAAAGGCAGATGGGGTGGGAAAAGGCCGCAAGGACTTCTAGGGACTACACTGAGGAGCTGGGTTGGTTTGGATGCAAAGGATCAGGAAAAGGAAAGGTCAGCCCCTGCATCCCAGAAAGAGGCTGGCAGGTGGCGCAGGCCCAGGGAAGCAGAGGGAGGTGAGGGCAAGGCCAGGCCCAGAAGCAGTGCTCCTGGGGCCCAGGGAAGGCACTTTGTTGATCTGCATGAAAAGGATCAGGAATCAGTATTTGTTCCCCAGGTGTCTGGGGCTCCAAGACGAGGAATTGGACAGGACCCAAACTAGGAGAGACTGGCGGGGGAGATGGGAGGGTGAATGAGGCTGGGGGAGTCAAGGTGCAGAGGGCACAATGGACTTACCCTGGAGAAAGGCCTACAGGTAGGAGAGAGGCCTGTGGCGGGTCCTTCAGGCCCAGGGAAGCAGAGTGAGGTGAGAGCAGGGCCAGGCCCAAAAGCAGTGCTCTTGGGGTCCAGAGAAGGAACTACTTTCATCTGGATGAAAAGATCAGGAAGCAGTATTTGTTCCTCAGGTGTCTAGGACCCCAAGACAAGGAGTGGGGCAGGACCCAAACTATGAGACACCAGCAGGGGAGATGGGAAGGTGAATGAGGCTGGGGGGGTCAAGGCACAAGTGCACGATGAATTTATCCCGGAGAGATCCTGTGGGTAGTAGAGTGGCCTACGGTGGGTGGTGCAGGCCCAGGGAAGCATCACATTTATTATTTTAAATCTAGTCTTCCTTTTTGATTCACACTGACATCATGAGGTGTTGATTCCCTATAATGTACTGTTGGGAATCTTAAGTGAAAGAAATGTCATATATCTTTGCTCTCTACCCTGCAAGACGCTTACCTCATGTGGCAATTATGTCCTTGAAATATGGCTAGTGTGAATGAAAGACTAATTTTTAAATTGCATTTATTTTAATACATTTACATTTCAGTAAACATATATGGCAAAAGGATGCTAACTATATTAATAAATAAAGAAGAATTTTCTTGATTGCATATAAAGTACCTGTTATATTAGCAGGCTACAATCACAATCCATTTGCTGTAACATCTGGTCTTTGAAAATGATGTCATGATGTTATCAGTGAGAAACCTTTTTCTTTTGGTCTTTCTTTTGTTCTTATGAGTGCTAATACAATAGAGATTTGAATGTTGAATAAGAATAAATGTTCAGTCTGTGTTCTTTACTAAGTTAATTTCTCGTGTGTACACAAGAGATGGTACTTTATTTGAACCTCTCATAGGACTTATGTAATGATATTTACATTTTAATGACATTTACATTTTTAAAATTATTGAGCAACTACTACTAATTACTAGATATGAGACAAGTTGTTAAATTGCAAAGATAAATAAAATATTGTCTGGATTTAACTTTATATTGTCTATAAAAATTGATTTAATATATATAAAGCACTGTGGAAAGCAAATGCAATTGGTGTTCCATTATTTAGCTACTGTACATAAAGGTCAGACTTCCAGTAATGGACAGTATTGAGAATACATAAAATCAGAATATAAGAGAGTACACTAAGAAAAGGTGGGTATTCTAAAATGACAAACATCTTTGAAGAAATGGTGTTTGTTAGGTGTCATGGTGCTGTAACCACAAACCAAGCCTGATGGACTTGGGGACCCCGACAGATAGAAATCAAGACACAAGGAATGCAGAGGTCTATGTGCCAGTGCATGTTTATTGTGAACTAAAGCAAGCTTATATAGGAATCAGATCTGGAGTAATCAAGGAATAACCAAGGATACATTATATTACCACCAAGAATACCTTACTTCACCAACCGAAACTCACGTGTTTGCAGTATCCAAGATTCAGCTACATAATATTTATAATATCTTAGATATAAGGTGTACTGTTTGTGATTACTCTTAGCAACTACTATAATTCATTATTTCTATGTAGAAAACAAGCTAAGGGTGCTGAGAAACTCCTGTGCCCATAAACTGAAACAGAACTCTTTAGTTATGTTTCCAAGACTGCCAATTAATCAGGGAAGCATAGCCTGTCAACCCAGACCACAGAAGTAAGAGCAGGGAAACTCCCAGAATGGAAGCATTCGTTCTCCAATGCTTAAGTCAAGGCAAGCTGCCACAGCCTAATGCAGCAATGGCTGTGCCCATAATAATAGTAGCTCCCAACACATAGGTGCCCAAAAGGTAAGTGACATCCCTAATGATTGAAAACTGTTAGTAAAAGTCAACATCTGGCCAGTGCTTTACAGTTTATGAAGTATGTTCATAATATTTTGACCCGCATTTAAGATTTGACATCTAAACTGTGGCACTATGGAAAACTAGCAATACTTGAGGAAAAGAAAAACACAAACTTGTTTGAAGGAGTTGCAGTTTGGAGGAGAAATGACAGTATCACCAAGGAAGAAGTAAATGAGCACCAGCTCCTGTGAAAACACTTTCACTTTTTGTGTAAGGCAGTAAGATATGGGAATAAAAGCACAACTGGTGAGAACTGTGACTTCCTCAGGTTGGCAGCTGTCAACTGTATGTTTGAGATAAAATGCCTCCCCAGGGCTGGAGAGACAGCTCAGTGGGTAAGAGCACTGACTGCTCTTGCAGAGGACCCGGGTTTGAATATCAGCATCCACATGGCGGCTACAAACCATCCTTAACTCCAGTTCCGGGGAATCTGAAGCCCTCCTCTGATCTCCATGGCACTGCACGACACAGGTGCACTTACCTACATGCAGGCAATACACACATACACATAAAAATAAAAATAAAAAAATAAAAAAAATATTTTTTAAGCACACCTTTAATCCCAGCACTTGGGAGGCAGAGGCAGGAGGATCTCTGTGAGTTCGAGGCCAGCCTAGTAAATAAAATATTTTTTAAAAAGGATAAAAAAAAAGCCTCTCCAAACCAAGGACATAAACGTCAGAGTTCTTGTGCACATCATGTTTGATTTAGTAGATCCGAATCCACCTTCAATAAAGATAACAATAATTTTAGTATTTCATTTAATTATTCACTCTATACTATAATGTTTTGTGTCTTTTTTCCCCCTGTGCAGTTATGACTCCACACAGGAACCAAAGAGGAGATGTACAGTCTCTTCTCTAGATTTTATGGATAGTCCCTTTCCCCTTCTGTGTTGACCTCTTGAACTACTGTGTCAAGCTTAAAAGGGCACAGGAAAAAGTGTAATGTTTTGTGTCTTTTAAATGTAATAATTACTTAAACTTTCAATTCAATGAATTAATGATTACTATTAGCTATGTCATACAGATGGAGAAACTGGGTCACCAAGTGCTTTGTTATCTGTCCAAGGTTAAGCGACAGTAAGGTAAGTCATGTCAGTTTGCCTTTGTTTTAGATGTTTAGAATTTTTCAGCAACTGGTTTCATTAAAGAAAAAATAAACAGCAAACCAACTATTTCAAAATGTTTTATATTTCATTGTTTAGGTAGTGATTTAGTACTGAGTTATTACTGGATACTCAGTAATTGATGGAAAAGAAACACTTTTCCTGGGTGAATATTCCTTCTTTAAGCCATGGGATGTCAGATGAGCAGAAGATGTGGTCTTGCTCTTGATCAGCTTCTATAAAGTTGTTATTTGCTACTTCCATTGATCCAGTAATGAAATAAACACAATCAGTACATTTGAAACTCATGTCAATGACCTGAGATATCTGTCTTTATCTAATCTTGATGATATTCCTAAAGTGTCCAAAACTACCTCAAAATTCCTAGTTACATCAGAATCTAGTAATTGCTTTCTATAGCTTCCTTCTATCTACTTTAGACCCATGTCTACTAACTAACCCAGGACTGGTCTCAGCAAGCAGACCACCTTTTCCTCTCTTCTTTCATCAGAAACCAATTGTTGAGGTATCAAAGAACCTTATGAACCCACCGGAGTCAGCAAGAGTTTTCTATAAAGGGTAAGTTCATTATAGTGACACTCTCACCCCTGTTACTTTGCCTTTGTCATGAAAGCAACAGGGACAGTTGTAAAGCAATGGGTCACTGTTGTATAACAATAAAACTACTTATAAAATCTGAACAGATACACAGTTGGCCTGTGGGCTGTGATTTGTTGACCACTGGCTACAACTACATTATGGAGAATAAACTTTCTCCTAAAATATGAATAATTTAAACTGTTTTCTGATTTATGTTTGGCCAAGTATCTGAATCCTTGAGAATACACTCCAGTCATGACCTTGATGTTAGTGGGGTACAAATGCATATGTTTAAGAAAAATCCATAGGGCTGGAGAGATGGCACAGTGGTTAAGAACACTGTTCTTTCCGATGATCTGGGTTTGAATCCCAGTAACCACATGGCAGCTAACAACTGTCCTTAACTCCAGTTCCAGGGGATCTGACAGCCTCTTCTGTCCTCTGCAGGCATTGCACAACATGGGCATAACATACATGCACATAAAATAAAACTAATAAAATATTTTTTTTAAAAAAAGAAAAATCCATAAAGACAGGACATATTTCAGGAACAAAACTTGGGACAATGGCATGTAATTCATCTCTTGCTGCTATGATTATTCTTTAAAAAACTTTGAAGGAATGTGCTGTTCTTTTAAAGTAATGGATGGAATTCTTCATGCAACTATACCTCTTGGCCTCAAAGGGAGTAGTTAAAAACACTGTGAAACAGGTAGATGTAAGAGGTTAGGAGAAATGAAGATTCAGTTCCTTATACTTAGAGAGGCAAAAAAAGAAAGGGGAAAAAAAGGGTCATGGGGAGGTGTTGATACCTGGTGGTAGATAATGATGTGTTGCTGGACTCAGGACCGGTTAATTTGTCTGAAATCTCTTTCAACCATTTATATTCTTCAACTTTAGACAAAATGGAGGTATAGATATGCTACCCATTGAGTTAAATGGTACTTGCTTTTATTTCTTATAATCTGAACTTTATCAAGATTGACAGGGGGATGTTCACTTTGCTTTAAGAAATCTTCAAATGCAAAATCTGTGTTCATTCTCCTGAGTCTTCTTGTGACACAGGAGGCAGCTATAATCATCTGCCTGCAAAGACACCATCCATCATTCCAGTTAAAGTTCCAATATTTTTTGTGTGTGACTAATCCTGGACACTAGGAACTCTAAAAAGTTTTCTTTCTAATTTGAGAATGAATAAATATTGTTCTGGAATGAAAATATACAACAATTTAGAGTTTGATGAATATTTCCTCCTTTAGATCTTTCTGTAACTGCATACAAGATCAATAGGTCAACACATCAAGGGGAAAGCACATTTATCAAAGCACCAGACATAATATGTCCCAGTGATAAAACGATGGGTAAAATGGCATTACTGTACTCTCTTAAAACTTGTGGCAAATAAGGAAGAAAAAAAACCATGTAACGATCATACTTTAAGCATTAAATATCTTGATCATAACTGCTTTCTCTATTTTTGATTAATTTCTTGGTACTGGGTGATGTAGCAGGAAAGTTTATTGATATTTAATCTGAGAGATGAAGGGAGAGACTGAGGGTAAGAAATGACCATACTAGAGAGGTACATCAGCATGGGTCAATGCCTTGGGATGAAGTACGGAGGTGTGAGAATACAAGGGCTCTGGATAAGGCAGTGACACAGGGCCTTCAAGATGAAGGGATGCTACTGTGGAGTAGTCACATGATCATCCAGTCTGTCTTGTAACTATTTATTATAAACGCTGGAAAGAAATGATATTGAATCATTTTGTACAAACAAAATACCCAGAGTTGTTTTTTTGAATGAAGACTCTGAATTCCCTTCAGATAAAGGAGTGAAGGAAAACTGGTGGGGTGGGGGGGAGCTAAAAGTAAGAGGAGCACCCTGGAGGCTACAGTCACACCTGTGGTGAATTGTATTTCTTTCTTTCTTATTATTGCTTTGGTGGATTAGCCTGGGCAATATACCTCAATATTTTTAGAAAGTGATTTCCTGTAAAGCTGAACATTAATAGAAGTTTTACTCTCAAGCCAAGGTAGTTCTCATCCATGGGCGCCCTACATGCCCTGCCGCTCCCTTCAGGGTGGAGGACCTAAATGCCAAAATCAGAATTTTGAGCATGAGAGATTTTTAGGTCACCTCTGCACCAACTCACAAGAATTTCTGTGCAGAACAGTCTCTCTGCTAAGGATGAAATATAATCAGTAGTAAAATCTATGGAAGTAGAATAGGTTCTCAAACTTTACAGCACAATGGATCACTTCAGAGACCTAAATAACTTGTGACCAGGAACTATCCCCAGAGAGTATGCTCAAGTTTCTTGGAGTTTTACCCTAGAGAATCAGCTTTGTGACAGTCTCCTAGGGTGAGCTGCATATTAAGCCAAGGGCTGAGAAAACTTAGAATGGAGAACAGCCGAAGAACCACTATTCTGTTGTGACATTTATTTTTCTCTTTTCTGATTTCATTTGCAAGTCTCTCACTCTAAAAACATGAAAAATCCCTAGTCTTAGACAACCTACAAATGACCCAATATTCGATGTTTTCTCCAGGCTTGATAGCTCGATATTTGAACTCTGCTGTCTTTGTTAGCATGATTTAATTGTGATAAAATACATATGACATGACATTAAAAATTTTAATTTTATACTCCAGTTGTACTTACTGTATTTATAGTGATGTCTCCAGTCTCATCTTTTTAATACATCTTAAATTTTTTTATTATTTTTATGTTTTATGTGTATGTGTGTATTGCCTGCATATAGGTAAGTGCACCCATGTTGAGCAATCCCCGTAGAGGACAGAAGAGGCTGTTGGATCCCCTGGAACTGGAGTTACGGACAATTGTTAGCTGCCATGTGGATGTTGGGTTTCAAACCCGGGTCTGCAAAAACAGCTAGTGTTCTTAACCGCTGAGCCATCTCTCTAGCCCCCAGTTCCGTCTTTTTAAAAACATTATTTAGTGTTTGTGTGTCTGTGTATATGTGTGCATGCACATGTGAATGCACACTTTAATCCATGGTACACAAGTAAAGGTCTCTCTCTTCTACCATATGGGATCAAATTTAGCTCCTCTAGCTTGGACTCAGGTACCTTTACCTGCTGAGTCATCTCCATGATGCACCACTATCATTTTTAAAGAGCTTTTAGAAGCAGGACACCATAAAATGGAATACTGGATTTCCAAAAGTCAAATAACAACAATGAACATAGCTGGGCATTCTTGTAAGACCCTTCATGGCATCTTATAATTTGAAAAAAAAAATGAGCTAAAGTTGTGGGTATGCTTTTTTGTTCCTTTAGAATTGAATACCACTACAGAAATGCATATGCTGTGTAAGTAGGAGTGTGCTTGGAAAAGTTCATTATGTATGAAACAAAGACCTTTATCTTACTGTATTTAAATTAAAGTCTGACAAGGCAGCTTCTACCTAAATTGACAGATTCTGAGATCCGATGGAGACCCTTGTGGAATGTGTACTATGAATCAAAACCTGCAAGAGGAAGTTGACTAATGCAGTAGATTTGGCAAAGGAGAGAAATAAAAATAATGTGATTCAGGTCTGGCAATGGTTTGTTCAGTTATTGTCAGGAGAGCTAGAACAATTACTGTGTATACAGCTTTAGAACTGATGTTCACTGGGCTAGAATTATGAGTTCATTCTAGCATGTTCTTCTAGGAAGTTGTGAACTACCCTATAAGAATTTGATGCCTTCTTCTAATATAAATACCATGATTTTCATGAAAATGACCATGCTCTGGGCATCTTAATTTTCATGGTATCAATCACAGGCAAACACACAAGGCAATTTACTTTCCCCCATCCTATGTCACTACCAGAGATCAATGAATTGATAATGCTAAGATTTCTCACAGTTCAGGTCAAGCTTCCAAGCAAGTAAGGCAAGGCCATCTCAAGTACAAACAGACAGAGACATAAATACCTTCCTTTGCCCAGAGATGTGCTCAACAACTGTATATTAAAAGATTCAAAATGCTGTTCTTTACCCTTTTTATTCTGATACCAAGTCAAGAGCTTCTATCCTAAAACAATGATGCTCTATTCTCTGCTCAATCTAGACAGGGAGCTCCTTCAGGCATGCTTTCATGCATTCATGGGTTTTCTCTGGTATCTAGGAGTGGTAGGAAATAGATAATTTTTAAAAATTTTGTCTATTAAAATTTATATTTGTTTATTCTTATTTTATGCGTATGAGGACTTTG